TCTCATTTTCAAGAGAATTCTTTTCCTACAAAATTACATCAAATTTAGCTTGGACAAACTTTAGTGAGACACCCCAAAGCCAATTTTAGAGGGGAAAAGGTGGTGCTGTTGTCGATTTAGAACTTTTTGAAATATGACTTTTTCTAAAGTTAATTTGACTTTTAAAAATCAAACGATATTACATCTTGTTCAGTTTTTTTTTCTCTTTCGAATGATGTATACTTGAAATTTTTTAGATACAGAACGGAGGCAAATGAAATAGAAAAAAGCGGGAGTTTTGACAGATTTTCCAGAGAACTTTCGAAAGAAATTCTGTATCTCTTCCATTTTCGACTACTAAGATCTAAAAACTTGAAATTTCCATATAATTTTGAATGCTATATCCGATGAAAACGTAAAACAGGTAGATCAGTTTTTCAATGAAGAAGGAACGTCTTTTCTGCAGCATATTCGACATTAGTGCGAATATTCACTTGTAGAGTATATCATCAATCAATATATCATTTTGTAGAGAAATACAATTCATCAGTGGCGAATTTAGAGGAGATGCCCTTGTTGCGATCGCACTTCATTTCAGAAAGATTTTCATATTTATATTTTCTGCAAAGTATAAGGGACTGAAATTGAAAAATCTGTTTTTTGAGTTTGAAGTTAATCGATATTGAAGATTTCCCCTATCGCCTCTATATCTTTTATTCTTAAAGTATATAAAGAATTGTTCAATATGTTTTGTGCGTGGAATTGAATGAGGAACCTTTTAAAAAAAGATTGAGACCCGGTGATCAACCCTGACCGAGATATTGAGAAAATACTGAATAGGACATTTATTCTGCGCCATCCGTTATTTTGTTTGGTTTTGTAATTCTGGCACACAAAATCGCGTTACTGACCATTATGTTTTCTCACCCTCAATGTACGCTATTGATACGATTAAGTTAGTTCATCCGATGTTTGTGCAAATGCATGCTTCTTTTAATCTTCTCACTACTTCATTTTTCTCAAGTTGATAAACTGTCTTTTCAAATATGATGTAAAACTCCTGCCAGTTTCATAGGTCAGTTTGTTTAAACTGACGTGATGTGTGGGTTAAATAGGTTGCGAATTTAGGGAAGATGCCGTTGTTGTGATCGCACTTCATTTCAAAAAGATTTTCAGAAGAAAAAAAATCACTGTTAGTGCTTCAAGCGACGTAAGTTCAAGTAATCGCGCCTCCCCCCTTAAAGTATTCTCTATCCGTCACTGAATTAAGTCTTGTGCAAAAAGCTGAATGCTGAAACAACAACAGTGTAAATCAAACATTAAGCTGTATCACGCCATTGTCTTAAGTTTAAGCTTTAATTTAAAAACTAATTAGAGCTCTTCATCATTTAATTTGAATGAGAAATCTGTTCAACGATACTGCTCACTGTGAGAAAAAATTATTTCGAGAAAAATACAACGTATATTGTTTTCGAAAAAGCTATATTTTCCAGAAGTTTGATTTGAGGATAATTTGTATATACATTTCTATAGATTTCCACCTATGCCGAATCTAATAAAAATGCTCAGTCGTATGTGCTGCATATGTATTTGCTTGTATACATATGTTTTTTGCTTTAAAAATCTTTTGCCTTGGTAGTAGGTGGGGACTTAAACGAAATATTAAATTGACACACTCTTCTTTAGGTCAGAAAATATATTCCATTAAATATTAGTAAAACGTAGTAGTAGATGCAACTCGATATAACCTGTGTAGTAAATTGTAATGAAACTAATCCTAGCTAAGAATGAAAACTCGTGCGATCAAGTATCTAAACTTAAAGCCAGTGATATGAACATATTCGTTTGACAAATATGCAACGCAAGTGAAAAATACCCAATAGATTTCAATGATTTTATTCAGTTCATTACTCTCTGATTCAATTTTTATTGATCAGATATGAATAGTAAACATCAGACATATGATTGGTTTTTGAACATGATCTTCACATAGCTAATGTAAAAGGAATTCACATTTGAGAACAGAATTATTGCTGAAAATGACCGAAATATAATATTTGTGACTAGTATACTTGGCTGATTTATACTTCTCAAATATACTTACTATATATTTGAGAGAAAAAGTTTTCCGATTTTTATGGGGGTGTGGAGTAGTCGGATGGTACTACAAGTCTCATAAACCTTTTTAATGCGGTGCGAAAGCGAAACCGTATTTTAGTAATAAACTGCGTGTTTTTTGCTCGAGAAAAAAATGTGACTTTCTGTAACGGCTATCTCGAAAACTACCAGTGGTATTTCAACTAATCTGACTAACTAATCTGAGTCATACATGTACACGCGCTTTTATACAAGAGTACGTTCGTCTCCCGTGTGATTCGTTTTATGATTGTTCTCTATATCTTATTCAACAAGTGATTATCGTAACTCTAGCCTCTAAATGCATTCTTGTGTTACAAATTTAACAAAAAAAACTGAGTTCTCTGTTGTCGTACCCTTCATTCTCTTATTCCTTCTTCGCACCGCATTCGCAACTCTTTCCATTGGCTTATCTCAAAAATTGGGTCTGGAGAGCTGCGTTTCTTATAATAGTTACTTCATCACAACGGAAATTTAATTATAATCACAACATCGTGATGCAGAATATCCTCGCTGAAACTGTTGCTTTGAAAACTATTGTATTAACGTACAAGACAACTGATTGCCTCTACAAAAAGAAAATCCATCTTTCATTTACGAACGATCAAAGATATTGTCATAGTTACTGTTATGGAAGTATTCAAACCAATCTCATAACTAGATTAGACTAAAAAACCAGTCAAAATATTGCTAGAACATTTCGTCTAGGAAGTATTTAGCTAATCGCAGTCTGACTGGTTTTATCGCTTATAATAGTCTATGTTGGCTAAGTAGTCAATCGAATATGTATCTTTACTAAAATAATTGATTTTTTTGAAAAACCAACGCCATTTCATTTTTAGAGATCCAAAACGTTTTCATAATATTTATTAAACGAAACTTTATTAATGGACTCAACTTCATGTGGATAATAAAATCATATTAATAAATGTTTTACTTTTCTCTGCCTAATTTAATATTTAAATTTGGCAATATTTGTTTTACTTCTTCTACCAAAGCCATAAAATCTTTGTTTAAAAATATTCCTCCTAAATCAATTAATTGTAATTGACTTGTAGGCGTTTTGACAAGCGGTTTGATTACTGCATAACAACCACTTGATTCTAACGGATTTCCATTTAATATTAAAATTTTTAATGTTTCATTTTTACTCAGTCCACGACCAATATGTGTTGCTCCTTCAGTTGTTAATTGATTATTGGCTAAATTAAGTTCTTCCAATGTTGAATTTACTTTCATACAATCACCAAATACTTTAGCAGCATATAAACCAAATCCATTCCATGATAAATCAAGTGTTCGTAATCGAACATTTGTTAATAAAAATTTCATAAATAAACCGATACCTTTATGACGTAAACAGTTCCATGATAAACATAAATATTCTAAACTTGGATTTTCTGATAATGCTATTCCCAATTGTTTACCCGATTGTTCTTCTAATAAATTTTTACTTATACTTACATGAGTTAAATATTCATTCATACTCAATAGTTCACTAATGTACGGAGCACATTCATCATTAAAACGATTACCATCCAAAATGAGTGTACGAATTGTACGATTTGAACGCAATACATTGCAAAGTGCTTTACAACCTAGAATTAACATAATCATCGGTTATCGCTATCTAGCACACAATTGAGATACCAACAGATTGTTTAGACTAGTGTCCAATCATACGTTGAAAAAAAATCTACAGTTGCATGATGGTCTGTAATTATTTGTTTGAAATGATGAAAAGGATTATTTTGACACGCGTAAAAATTTATTGCGTGATCGTAAATGTGACAAAACAGAAAATATAGTTCAATCTTACCTTGTAATCCAATATCATTATTTGATAAATCCAAATCTGTAATATATTCTGAATCTTTAAGTAATTGAGAGATATATACGGCACCTCTCGATCCTAAACCATTTTCTTTTAAATCTAATTTTGTTATTGTTGTATTTATTTTCAATGATGGTACCATTACTTTGACGTTAACCGGTTTCATACCATAATAACGAAATATTAATGATTCATTATCCAAATTTCTCAAATAGTGACTCGATGGTATTACAGCATGTTTTTTACACTGATCCAGATAGATACCTTTACAAGAAAAATCTCGTAACGGCTCTTGTTCTTGTTCAATATCCGTATCATAATCAATTTGAACTGAACGTTCACGATCAACATGATTCATTGTTGCATCACCAACATCCATATCACTACCATCATCTTCATCTTGATCTACTTCATTATCATCCTCATCTAAATTATCCTCTAAAATAGCTGTTGAAGCAGAATTAATTCTATTCAAATTATGACCAGCTGATATGGAGCGTGTAGCACTACGCACTAAACGTTTTGGTTTCATATCGGCACTAAGAATTAAACGAGTTTGATTATTGAGTAGATCAGGACGTTCAAATATACGACTTTTGCCTTCTTCGGGATTGACTTTACCAACACGAGTTGATGGAGAACCAGAAACAGAATCATGATATACTTGGGACATTCTAAAAAATGAAATAAGAATAATTAGAGAATTTAGTATGCTGTATAGTTAAAAATCTTACTTTACGTATGCTTATTAAAACGTCAGATATATTGTTAAGTCAAATTAAATTACAGATAAACGATGCGATAACCGAGTAATAAAGTGCAACATGTTTCATTGAACATTGTGAAGTTTTATTTTACTGAGGACAACGCTTTCACGCTATTGTTTCGAAAAAACACCGAAAAAATTTCATTTTAATACCATTCTCTGTTTATTTTTTCAAATGAGAATGGCATTTTCTTTTTCTTCGCTTTTAAAACGATCGTTTTATATATCAGGTTAACAAAAACACTAGTAAGACATATTATAAAAGTATACTTTTTAAATGAGATGAGAGAAACAAAAAAAGTTTATAGGCACTGATACTTTCAAAAAATTCTCATGATTTTTAGTAAACTGGATGAAAATCATACATTCAAAGATTGAAATCGGAAAAAGAAAGAGAAAGAAAGAAAGAACGTGTTAAACTGTTCATATACCAAGTTGAATGTAAAAAAGAAAAAGATACAATGACTCTGCGCAAAGATGTACACATTTCGTCACAGGATTGACAACAGCATTATATAATTCAGCTATATCGTAATGAATATACGCGGGCCAAATACTTCGCTTACGTAACGACGATGCCACTTGTCTTTTTTCATAGATAAATTTACTTGTAAATACTTGCCTTGTTGGATAAGTACTTGTCAAGTGAAATTGCAAATGTTCACACAAAGTATTTCGTCCAATAAAACCAAATATTTCAATCTTAAATAAGTAATTCTAAAAGTTCCTGACAAGTAAGTAGTTTTGAAAATACTTGTCAATTATTCCAAATATTTAGTAAGTCCTTACTAAGCAATCAAATACGTTCTCTAGGGTATGTACAAAAGAATAGAATTGTAATACATTTTGTATTCAATTTTTCGTGTATTTGTCCGAGCCTTTCAAAAATTATACGTAAAAAATCTTTGCTTGGTTTTAGAAAAGAGTATTATCAGCTGAGTTACATGTTTTTCAACACGGATTCTATCCTCTGTCGAATAGATCACAGAAAAAGATTTGTAAATGATTCGTAGATGAATTCATAGAGAAAACTTTAAACTATCTACTGGTGTCGTTTCGAAAAAGAATCTTTTTATCCATCAGAATTATTTCGAAAAATACGATGAACTATACACACTTCCAGTTTAGATTCATCTCAAAATACACTCATTTTTCATTAAGGTTTCTAGTGACAGAAGGCAGCAAGTGAAAGTGCCCATTTCACTTTCCATATCCTATCAAGTAACTGTTCATAACTTGGAATAGAATACAGCTGCAAACAAACCATTTTGTAGAGAAACAATTTGTCTACAAAAAAAAGATATATTACCCAAGTTTTTCCAGTTGCTACATGCACTTAGTTGCCGCAGGTTCGCCGTCACACGTTTTCCAGTGTACGGAACGTTTTTAGTGCACTTATTTCAGTGCTACCGAAAAACATCTAAAAAACCTTGTAAAAGAGCATCAGCTACTGTTATAAAAATCATTGTTTACTACTGGTGTTAATTTAGTATAATTTTAGAAAATAAATTTAAATTCGTGATTTATTTATAAAAAATAAAGATAAGTGAGTCTTATTTTTATCATTACAAAATAAAGGTAAAATAAAAACATAAAGATTTTATTTTTGCTGTTTTCAAACAGGAAGGCTTAGTATGTCATCGTTGATGTCCGGTTTCTTACGTTAAATCATGAGCTGATTATTCCTCTTCATTTGTCTGAATAAGTTGTTTTAAGTCATGATGAATAAACGAGAGCGACTATACAAACGGTGGTATTATTCTTTCTTTTTAAGTTTCTTCTACAATTTCTTCATGTTTTTTTGTTAGATTAGAGTATCTTTGAAAAACTTAAAAAGTGAAACTGTTAATTGTAGTTTGAGCATTTAGTCAAAATGAGCTCGCCAGTAGATTCATTAGCAACGATATACAGTCAAATAGCTCGATATACACATCCAGCCCTTATTCTTCTTGGTACAATTGGTCAGACTTTTAATATTTTGATCTTTGGCCGTAAACCATTACGTTCCAACTCTTGTTCAGCCTATTTTCTCGCAGCATCAATCGCCGATACTTGTGTTCTATGGTTTTATGTTCTCACAGCATTACTAAGTGATGGCTATTCGATTGACCCCGCAAAATATTCATTATCTTGGTGTAAAACGAAATATTATATCCTCTTTGTTACTGGTAATCTGTCACCAATGTTTGTGGCGTTGGCCTCTATCGATCGTTTCTTTGCAACCGCAACGAATGCAAAATACAGAAAATTTCATACGTTATCAATGGCTTATCGAATAATACCTGGCACAACGTTACTTATTATGGTGTTATATCTACATGTCCCAGTTTTATTTAGCAACGAAAATAACATCTGCTTTGCACAAAACGGTTTTTGCGCATTCTTTATCTTAATATGTCACTCCACAATCCCTCCATCACTGATGATTATATTTAGCTTGCTAACTTTCAACAATATACGACAACAACGTTCAAGAATAGTCCCAATTAATGCTAGTAGTCGTCAAAAACGAATTGATAGCCAATTAATCCGAATAACACTCGTTCAAGTTTTATCCCACATCCTGTTAACACTTACATACTCAATTATGTTTGCATGCATATCATTTGGTCTTCAACGAAGAAGCCTCGTCAACTTTGCATTTAACATTGGACGTTTACTATTTTTTATTAGTTTTGCAATCAGCTTTTATGTTTCGACATTAACTACGCCACTCTATCGAACACAGCTTATTAAGATTATCAATACAGTATCTCA